CAGATGAGTGGTAACTGGGAGGAACCGCACACTAAGAAAAGCAGTTGGCACCTTGTTTGTTCTGTTTTCCCTCCCACTAACCCCACCCCTTTCCCTCAAATGTTCCCTTCTCCTTAGGCTAGGCACAGGTTTTCGCGTGGTGTGCTCTTCTCTGCCTCTAGCCCTGTGATAAAGGTAGCTATTTTTTTTTTTTTAATTTAGATTCTGAAAACCTGTCACCTGCTTTATTTCTGGAGGAGGGTCAAGGAGAATCTTCACTTTATTTTGAGGGGCTGGTGAATCGGAAGCAGCAGCAGCAATCCTGCCTCGACAGGCCCTCGGGTCCACAGGGAAAGCTTAACTTCCTAGTTTGATTCAAGAGTCTAATTTTTTCCTAAAGCAAGATCATCCATTTTCATTGGGATAAAAGAATAAAGAACAAACTCAATAGCACCAAATGGGGTTTAATGCAGAAAACAGGGCCCGGTGTCTCCTTTCAAATAAAACTTTTACATTAAAGTGTGTTTAGAAGTCACAGTTGTTTTTCCTCTTTTTTAGCCTCATCTGAGTACATTTTTGCATTTATTTTCACATAGAGTGGGAGGGGAAGGGGGGAGGGAGACATCAATGTGAGAGAGACACATCACTGGCTGCCACCCACATGACCCCAACCAACTGGGGACAAATTGCAACTGAGGTACGTGCCCTTAGTGGGAACTGGACCTGGGACTCTCTGGGCCGAAGCTCTAACCGCTGAGCCAAACTGGCCAGGGCTGTTTTTCCTCTTGATTCAACCCTTCTCCTTACCTAATAGGAGCCTGAAGCCTGAAGAACAAAACACTACAGCTGCCCCTTCCGCACAGGACTCTGACCACCAGTGGGCTGGCCTAGCTCAGCCCGCCGCAGCGACAGGATGCAGACTGTGCTCTCAGGGAGAAGGGCACCGAGGACGCCACCAGTCAAGAGTCGAACACCTGATCACGGTGCAGTTTCCGGCCACCGTGGACAGGAGAGTCTTGGAACACCAGTCTCACTCGGTATGCCGCATGTCCCTGCTCACATAGATCCTAAACAGGGTGTTGATCATCCCCATGACAACTGCAATAAAGATGAAATTGAGGGTGGTGACCTGCAGTGGGCAGCAGTCCTGGTCAGGGTTGGTGTGAACACCCCCGTACTGAACAGGTGGCTGCAGCCCTCCCACGCTCTTGCTCTTTAACCTAGCAGATTGTTTTTTTAACTTGAAGTTGAATTCCCACAATGGATCCTATCTGTTCCCAACGATCTTTCTACACCAGAAAAGTAAGCATTTGGAATTCTTTGATGTGCTGGGCAGGCTGTCTGCAATGATGGGGTATTTGGAGATTCCGGCAGCAAAGGGCTCATACACATGGTAAAGATTGGATCACACGCCTGGAGGCAGTGAAGCTTCTCCATGGACTCTGGTTGCAGGTGCAAAGGCAGACAGGCATCCAGCGTGTAGTGCCTTTGGCACAACCTACTCCCACAGGCAGCCGTGCAAGTGACAGTCCAGGCATTCTTACAACTCAGGGAAACATTCACAATGTCCTCAGGACGGATGCAGGAGACCAGCTACAGCCAAATCTTCAGATGGGGGGGTGGGGACATCGATGTGACTGGTTGTCACCCACAAGACCTCAACCGGGCCGGGGGCAGCAACCGAGGTATGTGCCCTTAGCGGGGACTGAACCTGGGATTCTCTGGTCTGCAGGCCGACGCTCTAACTGCTGAGCCAAACCGGCCAGGGCTAAAGGTAGCCATTTTTATTCCCTTTTTGGTTACACCCATTCTCCACCGAAAATTCGCTTTAAAGAATGCTTTGTTTATTTTGAGAATCATCAACAGGCTTTAATGATGAATGGATACACAAAATGTGGTCCATCTACACAAGGGAATATTACTCAGTAATGAAAAATGAAGTACTGACACCTGCCACAACATGGATGAACCTTGAAAACATGATGTTCAGGGGTAGAAGCCAGACACAGGTCACATACTATATGATTCCATTTACATGAAATGTCAAGATTAAGCAAATCTATAGATAGAAAGATTAGTGGTTGCCAGGGAATGAGGGGGGTGTTAGGAGAAAATGAAGGCTGACCACTAATGGTTGTAGGGGGCTCTTTTGGGGCGATGAAATGCTCTAGAATTGATTGGGGTAATGGTCACACAATTCTGAATATACTAAAACCACTCAATTCTACACTTTGGATGGGTGAATTATATCTAATAAAGCTATTATTTTTTAAATGGCTTTATTGACCCTAAAGATGGCAAAAGTCCAGGGATCCCCCACAGCACAGGGTCCCAGAGCTCCTTTCTTCAGCCAAAGTGGGGTTTGGCCGCCCAGATGGTGCCAATAGCACAGCCCTTCTCAGAACAAACCTGCCCTCATCCCAGAATGGTTGGAAGCTCAGATGAGAGATATGAACCCTAGGAATGTGGGCCTAACTGCAACCAGGAGGGGGACTGTGGACACGGCAGCTGCTGCGGGTTTTGACTACATAGTACCCGTTTTGGGGGGGGAGATACAGATTTTTCTCATTTTTATCCTACATGTGTCTAGAATACTATTCTTCGGACAAATGATGTGTTTGTTTCCTGTTACTATGTAATAAATTTCCATAAATTTATTGGCTTAAAACAGTACCTGGTTATCACTCCATGGTTCAGGAGGTCAGAAGGCCAGGCCAGGCATGACTGCGTTCTCTGTTCAGGGTCTCAATAGCTGAAATTGAGGATCAGCTGTGGCTTCCAAGCTCACTGAACGTCGGTAGAATTCAGTTCCTTTTCACTGTCGGACTGAGGTGCCATTGGCTTGCTGGCTACTGGCTGGAGTCCCCTCTCAGCTCCTAGAAGCCATTCTCAGTTCCTTGTGCTGCGACCCCTCCATCCTGATAGAAGATGGAGCACACATGGGCTTGAGGATTGCATGGTCCTTGATGGAAGAATCAGCATCATTTACTGTGAGATAGCACTTGATAAGGCCCTGCTCTCTGAGCATTTCCTCATCTGCAGGACGGGGAGCATGCCAGTACGTACACAGGGCCGTGTGCTGGGGGTGCAGGCAGCTCCCTGCAGGCTGCTTTGGCAGCATCTGAGAGAGCTTAGAGTGCTGTTTATAGTCAGCCTTTCTGTGTTCCGTTGGGGCTGTTCGTTCTGCCATTTGTCTGTTTCCTCATTCCACTTCCAGGGAATTTTTCTAGTTTCTTCCTAACCTGTCTCAGAGGTAACTGTTATACCAAACAAACTATTTAAAATATTGGTGTGTGCCTGGCCAGTGTGGCTCAGTGGCTGAGTGTCGACCCATGGACCAAGAAGTTGCCAGTTCGATTCGCGGTCAGGGCACATGCCTAGGTTGTGGGCCAAATCCCCAGTGGAGAGATGCACGAGGTGGACAATCTATGTTTTCTCTCATTGCTCTCTCTCTAAAATCAATAAAGAAAAAATATTTAAAAAATAGGTCAGTGTGGAAGAGCACCAGATTACTAATCTGTACTCTGTAGAGTATAACTTCATTGACCATTTCTCAGTCAAGCTTCAGGTTTATAAAACCATCATGGAGTGCAATCAGCTCTAATCAGGGTTGCCGTCCTTCCTGGGAGTCAGGTGAATCAAAATAGTTTTTGGGGGGGCACATACCTCACTTTCCTCATGGGAAGGAATGATCTACAGGCTGCGGTCCTTGATGTCAGGCAGCACCTGCGAAGGCTGTCAAGCCTCAACCTGATAGCGGGGTCCAGGTTCTTGTCATAGCACAAGCAAGGATTTGAGAGTGTGACAAAAGGATTTAGCAAAGCACAGTGCATTTATTAAAGTGATAATATGCACTCAAGAAGTGCGAGTGGCGACCTCAGTGAATGAGATGCCCCATAAGGTCTGGGTGGAAGGTTTTTAGTAAATGTGGGCAAGGGAGGGAATAGGGTGGTCCTTGGCTTCTGACATTGGTGGGGTGACTGCCAGTGCAGATCCCTCCTCTCCAGATAGGGATTTGTTTCTGTTACAGGAAATTGGGGAGGGGGGGGGAGCAGGGAACAGATGGCCAGCAAAGGTCATGTCGGCACTGTTTCAGCCAAGATGGGAAAGGGGAGTGAGAGCTTAAGTCCTTTGTTCCTATTCTAACTTTCCTGCCTCACTCTGACCTGAGAGGATTAAAGCAAATGGTTCCTTCCAACTTTGCAAGACTCAGTAGGGCATGTTCTTGTTCACTATTCTGCTCCTTGATGGAAAACGTCCTCTTCTTTTAGATCCATCACTTGAGTTGGGCTTCGGTTCTAGTGTTTTGATGTTAATACAATAAATGAAATTCTCCATGGAGTTCACAATTCGGCTCTAGTTCAAAGCCAACATTCTAGATAAAAATTCATTTTGCCTTTATCTCTTTCCATTTTTCTCTTGGGACCTTGGGATGGAGAAGAGGCCAAATATTCCTTGGTTATTACAAAACCAGTGGCCAAATATTTGAATATCATTTAATAACTTTATTAGCTCATCTTTCCACCATTTCCAACAATCTAGCAAGTCTCCAAGTTGCTGATTTAGACCACACTACAGCTTCCTCCCAATACCTTCAAAATCCTGCCTTTTTCTTCCTTGGAAATGCTTATGGTAACAAAGACATTGGGATTCAATGCTTAAGAAAATTCTACCAGGAGCCCTTGGTAAATGGTAAGAACAGCCTATACTCCAGCATCTATGTTCAACTGTACTGCCTCTTGCTCACTCCAGGGTACCTTGTACTGGCCCTATTGCTGCACAGGGCCAGCCTGTGTTTGGATTTAGGAGAAAGTATGTCCCTCCAGGAACCCCTGTAATTTACAGGAGGCCAGAGATTTAGTATTAGTATATAAAATTTTGCAGGGGGATCAGCAATAACTATTTATGTTCCACCAACTGGGCCAGTCTCTTAAACATATGTAGAATTCTCTTGACAATTCTCATTTATTGCTATAATCAGAAATATCAGCAAATAAAAAGGTAGTTCCATTACAGCCAGAATTTTATCAGCTTCCATACAATGGTAGTCAGTAGAAATGACCTGAGGCTGACATTTCATCCGGAATCAATTGTGTGGAGGTATGGTTCAAAGATGTCTGCCGATCAGGACAGTCTCCAGGTTCAGGCCTTGCCTGTGTGCACAGCCCCCGTGGCTTTGCTAACCATGCCAAGCCTTCTCTATCCTCATGGAAAACTACTGTGTACTCCCTTCTCTCTTTTTGAGTATGAATGATGTTCAGAAGAACCAGGAACCTTAAGCCCTGGAAAGCAAATAGATAAAATGGAAAGTTCCAGAAACTTTCCTGCCAGGGAACTTGGCTGCCAGTGTTCCTTTCATTTGTTTCATGTTTACATCTCCAAAGGACAATGGCTGACTGGTATTAAAACCAAAACAGTCAATTGGAATATTACTGACCAGAATGAGAATTTTCTTGTTGAGCTGTCAGGGCTGGGGCCTTCTATCCCACCCACACTCTTCTGGTGTACCCTGGCACACATGGATGGAAAAACAGAAGAAACCAGGCACAGAAGGCTCCCTTCTCATGCTTTAATCCCATACCCTGTGCTCCATTTATGGAGGACAGTCTCCCCAGTCCTTGCCACTCCCACAATCAAAGCAGGTAAGGTTCCTAATTACTCAGCCTCAATTCCATGGAACCTTTATCAGGCAACAGAGATCCTTGGGCCATGAGATACTACTATTTAGATCTTAATTACATGAAAATGAAATCACATAAGAAAAAGCAAACAATGCAAATACATGAAAGCCTGGTCAATCCTTCAGGGTCCCAGCTGCTGGGGTTCATCATTTTCCCTGATCCCAGAGAACCAGGGTAGGGGTGATGGGGGCTAGGTGTCAGAGCAGTCTTGATAACCTCTGCCAGCAGCAACAGCTTTCTCTTAATTTCTCCATAATCTGATCTCAGATCTTTTCATTTTCTTCATGTAAGTGGTGTGACCCAGTCAATTATGATTCTTTAATTATTATAGTGCCCCTGTAAAATGACACTGTTCCAAAATTCTCACAAACCCTTGTGAAGAGGATGGGGTGGGTGGGCTTGTAAATATGTAGGAATGTAAATGTTTCCATGATTTAATTATACTTTATAAAATCCCTTAGCACCCAAATGCCACATCCCACTGGTAGTAGAAAAAGTGCTAGGGACAAAACCAAGAGACCAGTAGAACAGTAGGAAGACTAACAGCATGAGTATTGTAATGGGGTAGGGGGGACCTACAAGGAAAGAGGCTTCTGACTAGGTCCTCCTTTTTAGTGTCTGGCGCCTGACATCACTTTGACAATGGGGACTGGAGCACCCTGACAAAGTCCACGTGAAGCAGCTTTAAGGTTTTTGCCCATCAACACTTCCCCCACCCTCCCCAGTATCGAGGAAAGCGCATGGTGAGGAAGTGAATCAGTGAGATGTGCAGTTATCCCGTAAATGGGTGGCAAAGCAATCAGGATGCAGATATCCGGCCTTGAGTTCAGGGCTGTGTGCTTGAAGATCTGAGCCCAGTAAGGACAGAGCCCCTACAGGCTGGTTCCTTACCACACCTGAGGAGTTGTCCTGGGCAACTTTAAACTTGAGGCTGTTGAGTCATCCTTAGGATATCTAACAGCTGATTTCTGGGAAAATACAATAACCATAACTTTTAAGACTTCTAATTGTCCTACCTCATACCCACAAGGTAGAGGCAGGAGCACTCCAGTCAAGGAGAAGCCTCAACTCAGGTACTTTGGGCAAAATTGCTCCTTAAGAAGAAAACTGAGACGCTCTGCCCGGGGGGGATTTACTTAATTGTGGGAAGAGTTCTATCAATCTGGGCAAGTCAAGGAGACTCCCTGGAAAAGGTCTCCCCAGTATGAGCAGAGGGTTTCTCCTAGCCTATCCTTGGGACAGGGCTGAATGCACATCTCCTAACATGGGTTCCTAGCTAGGAGGTCTTTCCTGAATGGGTCCTCTGATGCCTGATTAAATGATAGCCTCTGCTAAAGCTCTTTCCACAGGTAGGGCACGTGAATGGTTTCTCGCCAGTGTGTGTTCTTTGATGCCTGACGAGGTGGTCCCTACGACTGAAGCTTTTCCCACATTCATTGCATCGGCAGGGTCTCACTGAGGCATGTCCTCTCAGATGCTTGGCAAATGCAGCACTATGGTTGAAGCACCGCCCACACTCACTACAAAGATAGAGCTCTTCAGCTGCATGTGTCTTCTGGTGTGCCAGGTACCTCCTGTGGTCACTGAAGTCCTCTCCACACTCTCCACACAAGTAGGGTTTGCCTCCAAGGTGGATTCTTTGGTGTGTTGTTAGCACAGATTTCTGGCTGAAGCTTTTGCCACAAATAGTACAGAAGAAGGGTTTTTCTCCTGTATGTGTCCTCTGATGCCTAACAAGGTCTGAGGTCCAGCGGAAGTGTTTCCCACAATCATCACATCTATACGGCTTCTCAACAGGTGGAGTCCTCTCAGCTGGGACCAGAGGGGAGGTCTCTTTCAAGTTCTTCCGGTTTAAGGGTAATTTATAAGAAGTCCCCACTTTGTGAATCTTTTGGTGCCTGGCAAGATGTGAGCTCCGTGTGTAACTTTTTCCACACTCCATACATTTATAGGGTTTTTCTCCTGTGTGAGTTCTCAGGTGTCTAACAAGGTGGGAGTTACATGTAAAACTTTTTCCACATACAGGACAGCCATGAGGTCTCCCTAATAGGGGGTGGATAGTTGTGGTTTCCTGAAGATTCATTAAACTATTAACTTGAGAAATATTTGTATCAAATCTTCTTTCATCAATTCTACCTGGATCATCCTCAAACACTATTTCCCAGTCTGGAGTCTGGTGGATTTCTGGATCTCCTAAAACAGAGGTGTGTAGATCCTCCAAATTCAGATCTTCTTGCTCAAGAAACTCTTCATCTTCACTCCTATCTCCTGAAGAAAGAGGGTGAGAGGAGAAAAGAGAAAATTATAGAGGTAATGATGGTTTCTACGCAATGGGGAGATTTGAAAACAGAGTTCTGGAAAGGCCAGAGCACACAGTGAGAAGCCCTATTTTATAACTATACAGCATATGCCAGGCACTTTCTTATGTCATCTCAAGCTGTCAATAAACCTTCATTTGGAAAATCATTATCCTCATTTCACAAATGTGGACTAAGGATCTAGAATTCAAGTGAACTGCTCAATTATTGGTTTAACTGCAATTCCAAAAGTCCCAACTTACTTTCTTTCACTATTTCATATTACACATACCTCAAACACATGATGGAAGGGGTAGGAGAAGAAAAAGGATAGAAGAATTTGGCATTTAGAGGGGGAGAGTAGTAATACCTGGCATATTTTAAGAACAAACGAGGGCGGTACCCCAAAGGGAGAAAGGAGCACAGACTAAAGGAACTGCCAGCTCAGGGGAGGAAGGTTCCTTTTTTGCCTTTCCTTACCTGTGTAAGTGAAACTCAGGATTTCTGGCTCTTGAGACTCTAGGATACCAGGAACCAAAGGCTCTTCTTCTCTAATGTGGGAAAGCTCATCTAGTCTAGGGATTGGAAATGCTGTTCAAGAGAGGGGAAACAGGACATTATAATTGGTTAAACAATTCCCTGTTAAAAGCAGATCAGCCAGGTCAGCTGATCAAATATTTGGTCTCTTTTGCTTAAGCACCTCCAACCAAGTACTGCATACCTTTTGTCTTTTACTTACAACTCAGTGATTATACAACTGTGAATGCTACCCTCTTTTCCCATATTCAAATAAGTAGATTATCTCCAACTTTTATTACTTGTTTCAAAACTCATGCTTACTCCTCAAATACATTAGAGCTGTAATATTCTAACTTTATTTTCTTATTAGACGTTTCCAATCACTTTCTAAGCAGTTTCTCTTCCCTTTAACTTAGAAGGATATCCTCTTACTTGGCTAATCCTTCAATCTCATTGGTGGGGTAGGCATAAGAGAAGCATAGTACAATCTAAGCTCTAAGCCCCCATAATTTCCAGCAAGAGAAAGAACTCTATGTTCAGAACATTCTAGAAACGTGTGAATTTCCTTACACAAGGAGACCACAATTCCACAGTCTTCTTCCAAGACATATTCTCCATAGAACTCTTTTTGTGTTGGATCCAGATCACTCCACTGGTCCTGGGAGAAGCACACAGCCACATCCTTGAAAGTTACCAATCCCTGAAACAACAGCAGAATTTAATTAAAATGTGATGCTTCATGGAGCTTCATATTTTGTTCCTAGAATGAAGGTCTCTGGTATAGGCAGAATCCACCCAGATCAAAGGAACTCGGATGGGACACTTGGCTCCCTTTCGGGCAATCTGTGTTTTGCCCTGTGTCATTGCTTCCCGACGCTGTGCTTTCACACTGGCCCACTCCCACTCCCTCCAGTCCTAGCTCTCAATGTGTTCTACTTACTCTTGAGGATATTGGTGAATTACAAAAAAAGTCTTAAAAGCCATCATTCAACTCCCTATTTGATGCTTTAATGCCATTTACATTTCTGTAAAAAGTCATCTTTTCTAGGAAACTTTCCCTAACTGACCTTCCCTTATCACTTACAAAGTCTACAGAGCATAAATAGGGCATTTTCCTTCTGCCAGTCTGAAAATACAGATACATTCTATTCCTTTCTCCTCCAGCCACACAGTGTAGTTTCTGGGCTGACCACGGCCAGCAGGACTGAATGCTGTCCCTGGAAGAGTACTCCATGTAACTTCAGAAACCATTTCTGCAGCAGTCAGCCATCCTTTCAAATGACTGTCACGTTTATCCTTACAAACTAAAACAAACCCTCGTTCAACAACGTCAAAGTTGTACTGAAGTGTTACAAAATAATCCCATTCAGTTAGTCCCCCTGGCCAGTGGCAAATAAGGGGGCTTTGGAGCCTGCAGATCCAACTGACATTATTACGATTCCTTTCATTAGATGCAACTCCTGCCCCTGAAAAGTGAAAAACTGGGAATTTAAACTGACAAAAAGAATGGAAATATGTATATTGTCTGACCCATTGAGTATATATGGCTAACACCACATGGTTCTTTGAATTCTCTGTGGAATACGGGGACATGAAGGTGCATAGGCAACAGAGCAGGGGGACACAAAGGTACTCTTGTGACAGAGCAGGGGACACGAGGGTGCACTGGTGACAGAGTAGGGGACACGAGGGTGCACTGGTGACAGGGAAAGGGGACCACGAGGGAGCACCTGTGACAGGGCAGGAGCACATGAGGGTGCACCTGTGACAGGGCAGGGGGGCACGAAAGTGCTCCTATGACAGAGCAGGGGATATGAGGGGGCACTGTTGACAGGGCAGGGGACAGGAGGGTGCACCGATGACAGGGCAAGGGGACACGAGGGAGCACCTGTGACACAGCAGGGGACAGAATGGTGCACCTGTGACAGAGCAGGGGACACAAGGGAGCACCTGTGACAGAGCAGGGGACACGAGGGTACACCGGTGACATGGCAGGGGACATAAGGGAGCACCTGTGACAGGGCAGGGGGACACAAGGGAGCACCTGTGACAGGGCAGGGGACACAAGGGAGCACCTGTGACAGGGCAGGGGGGCACGAAGGTGCTCCTATGACAGAGCAGGGGATATGAGGGGGCACGGGGACATGAGGGAGCACCTGTGACACGGCAGGGGACACAAGGGAGCACCTGTGACAGGGCAGGGGACACGAGGGAGCACCTGTGACAGGGCAGGGGACACAAGGGAGCACCTGTGACAGGGCAGGGGACACGAGGGAGCACCTGTGATATGGCAGGGGACACGAGGGAGCACCTGTGACAGGGCAGGGACACGAGGGTGCACTGGTGACATGGCAGGGGACATGAGGGAGCACCTGTGACAGGGCAGGGACACGAGGGAGCACCTGTGATATGGCAGGGGACACGAGGGAGCACCTGTGACAGGGCAGGGGACACGAGGGAGCACCTGTGACAGGGCAGGGGACAGGAGTGTGCACTGGTGACAGGGCAGGGGACAGGAGGGTGCACCTGTGACAGGGCAGTAAGAAGAGCGACCATCTCTGGGTTTCCGGTGTTCCTCTCCTCAGGAAGGTCTGGGTCCCGGGGCACTGGCACCTCTGTGAAGAAAAGAAGGTAGTGATCAGCAATATGCAGTGCACCCCCATAGCTGGCAAGGAGCTCAGCACCCCATCATCTTCGGCAGGAATCAAGTGGCCTTAGGGCAGCTCGTGCAGTCCCAACACTATGACCTGTACCACTCAGATGCCAAGAGATTAACCAAGAATGCTGCTCTCTAAGCTCAGGCCTACTCAGGGGACTCCAGCCAGTACTGTGTCCTCTTAACACCTGGCTCCTGTGAGTTTTCCTATCACAGTCTACCCAGTCTCGCTGGTACAGAAGTAGCCCTCCCCGCACTGCCGAGGGTTCCCACCGCTCTCCTGCAGGGGCTGCAGCTCCAGTTCACGGCACAGGCTCTGCTCTGCTGGTGCCCTCGGGGCTGGGCTCTGTGTGGTCTCCTCACAGGACTGCTCAGGGCTCAGGGTCTGCGCAGGGTCCTGTGGCTCACTAGGTGACTCGGGCTCTGCTCCTGGATGCACTGTCTCCTCTGACAGGACTTCCTGGCCATGAACATGGACAGTCACCTGGGAATAATTCCAACTTCCAGTCACCATGGAGTCAGGAGGAAAGTCTTGGTTGTCATCAGGACTTATTTTAGGAGAAGCTGCCAATAGAAAAAAACTCCCAGAGGGACCCAGATGAAGAGGGGAGCCTCGTTCCAGGGGGGCACGCAGGGAAGTGCTGCAGGTTGTTCTCACCGGCACAAAGCACGGACAATCGGGCACTCCACTGCCTTCTCCCCTCCCCGACCGGCCCCATCCACCTGGGCTGAGGCCCTGCCCTCCCCTCCCCCCAGCCACCTGCATTGTCCCTCACTGTCTGCTTCCCCACCATGTTGACCTGAGCAGGGAATCTGTGACTGAGGGTTTATAAGAACCTTTGAGGAAGTGACAACATTTTCCTCCTAAGGAACTGAAGAGTCAACATCCAAAGAAGGGAAAACCAAAGTCAAGTGACCCTGGCGTGACAGAGGCCCTAGGCAGGTGTTTCAAAACACCAAAAAGCCACACACACACAGACACCGCCTCTGCCCATGGGGCTTATGGATCTAGGTGCAACCCAAGGGCAGAGCCAATCACATTGAAAGGGTGCTTTATGGGGCCCAAATCCATCCTTCCAGCAAATGGCCCTCCACATTGCACAGGTCAGGACGCCCCCTCCTCACCCACCGCCTTGGTGTCCTGGGCCGGTTCTGCAAACCCTCCACCAGCGTCACTGCCTCCTCGCCGCTCTCTGGCCGCTGGCCCCGCACCCAGCTCTGCAGGTCTCCGGGCAGGACAGTCAGGAACTGCTCCAGCACAAGCAGCTCCAGGATCTGCTCCTTTGTTCTCCTCTCTGGCCTCAGCCACTGGCGACACAGTTCTCGGAGCCGGACGAGAGCTTCCCGAGGACTGGCTGCTTCCTGGTAGCGAAAGCGCCGGAAGTTTTGGTGCGAGGTCTCAAGCACGGGCTCATCCCTCTGCAAGACAGATTCTGGCCTACAGGTGAAATCATCTTCCAATTTCACCATTAGAATTCCCTCTTCTTCCCAAAGATCCTGGTCCTCCGATTCCAAGGCTGTGGCCATTTTTTGGCTCTGGGCTGGTCTCACACCATCTAGAGTTTACACTGTCATTACCTCCAGTCTCAGCCTGGGTACCTTGAGGAGTTTCTCCCGAAGGACCTGGGGTAGAGAAGTAGACACACAGTGTAAGCACAGAATTATACACAGGGAGAGCAGTTGAGTCTGATCATAATCTTGCGCATATACCACTTTCTCAAACTATTAAGTCCCCTCCCCCTAGTCTCTATAAACTGTGTGCTGTTTAACTAGATAAACAGATCTAGTTGGAACAGGATGACACATGTTGCAAGCAGGTTCCCCACCTCTCTTCACACCCCGTTGGAAAATAATGCATTTCCACTTCATGAGACTTGTGAACCTAGAAGGAAAAAGGCTGGCAATAAGGACACACAAAATCATCTGCTAAAAACTGTGGTACTCAGGCCTGTTCTATACACACACATTTACATACATATTAGAATGTATATGCTCAGAAGAGACACATGAACATGGCTGGAAGAGGGAGAAAAGGCCTTACTGAAGTTCCCCTGACCTGAAGCATACCCAGTATTAATTTCTCCTGTGAAGTGGAAACTCTCAGATGTGAGGGGAGGCTTGTGCGAGTTAACAGTGAGGAAAGCCACTCACAGTGACTGGCGCATAGGCACCCCAAAGAGCAACTTTTCTCTTGTTAAGACATCTTTAGTTGGGAGACCTACAGGCACTCACAAACCCAGTGTTCAAAACTGAGCTCATTCATCTTACTCTCAACCCTCTCCTCTTCCTGGAACCCTGTCTTGGCTGGATCATCACTTGAGAAGTCAAGACTCAACTTAGTAATCCTTGGATTCAGCCTTGCTTCTTCCCATTGCTTACAGCTCATTAAACCAATTCTACTTCTTAAGCCTCTGAGCCGGTTTCCTTCTTTCTCAGAGAAGCTTCGGTCTGGGCCTCACGTCTTGCCTGGACCACTGCCATGCCTAACTGGGGTCCTGGCGGACTCCACTGCGAGCAAAGGCCAATGGACTACCTGTGAGCTGCAAACCAGCAGCACACATCACTCTGGATCTTCTGATCCAGTCAACCGAGGCAACTGGGTCTTCAGAAATGCTGTGTGTGGTTCAGATGTGCACCGTGGTTGCAACACCTAGGGTGTGTAAGGTCAGACAATAATGCTGTGTGTGTGTGTGTGTGTGTGGGGGGGGGGTCGGCAGGAGGGTGTCAATGGGGCAAAAAGGGGAAACATCTATTACAAACATTAATTAATTTTTAAAAAAGTGAGAGTCCTGGAGTCGGGGTACTAGCGTTTGAATCTGGGCTCTATTGTTCACTAGGTATGAGGCCATGGGCAAGTTCTCGTTCTGCTTACGCTTGTTCCATTTCAGAATGAAGGTGACAATGGCATTCATCACGTAGCGTTACGGTGAGGGTTACATGTGTTACTGTCTGTGAAGTGCTGAGGAGTACGGGCGCCCAAAGTCAACTGTTTTAATGTTTCTAATTTACAGTTCCAACTGCATCACTCAACATTTAAAAATAATTTTTGCCCTGGCTGGGTGATTCAGTTGGTTGCAGTGTCAACCCATACCGAAAGGTTGTGGGTTCGATCCCTGGTTCGGGTGCATGCGGGAGGCAACTGATCAATATTTCTCTCACATTGATGTTTCTCCTTCTCCCTTCCCCTCTCTCTAAAATCAGTAATACAAACAAAGAAACAAACATATACCCCCGGTGAGGATGAAAAAATATTGTTACTGTTAGTAAGATCAGTTCCAAAATACTAAGCATGACATGAAGCTCTTCACAATCTATTTTCCCTACTTCACATCCTACCGTCCTCTCATTACCGGGCTGTATCAAATGCACTGCTGACGTCCCTACAACAGGGGGTCTGGTCTCTCAGGCCTCCGTGCCTGCATGAAGGCTTTGCCTTCTCTGGAATACTCACACCCGCCCTCAGTGCTGCATGGTGTTCCTATTTCTTGACAGGGTCCTTCTTCATTTTCATAATTTGCACAATAGGTCTTATCAGTCCTTATCTGGATTATTGACACTACCTCCAAACGGGAGCTACCTGCCCTCAGCCATGTTACCTTCAAGTTACCGCTCGGCAAACCTGGTCTCTATTTAAGACCCTCGATCAATCCTCCGTCTTTAAGTGAAACACAAACTTCTAAGTATCACAGACCAGGTGGGCCCTCACCTTACCCCTTGCCCTCCTCTCCAGTCCTTCCAAACACATGAACGCAAAGCACACAAAAGCCCCAAGTTGTTTGGCTTTTGCACATGCCGTTCCTTCTGACTCTTTACACTTCATTAGGTCAGACTTTACTAATCTTTCAAGACATAGCTCAGGCTTCATGTCCTCTGAGACGTTTTCTTGACCCCATTCCCCCTCCTCAGACCTGGTTAGAAATCACTGTGCCACACAGCAACCTGGGCACATGTCTCTCGCGGTATCTGTCACATCAAAGAGCCATTTTTATCTTTCCTGTGAAACGCCTGGAAGTTAGGGGCTGTGCTTTCCATCAATCTCCAATACTAATAATAAAGTGCACAATAAAAAATGCATTTAAATGAATACACCTCTACTTTGAAGTTTTATGTTTCTACTCTTTCACCCAATTTTGTTAATCCTACGTTCCAAACTTCTTTCAGATTCATCCTCCTCATCTTCACCATGAGATCCTTGGCTGAGCCACTATGACCCACTAAAAGGCGTTAATAGAATCCTTTAAAAAACAAGGACATCCTCAGCGCTACACCTCACTGGCACACAAATGAGGAATGAAGGACTGGGGTTCAAGTTTTAGCACTGGTCTTCCTGGCCCTGTCCCCTCCAGAACAAGCTGCAGTCTCACATGCAACCTGAGAACTTCACTTGTCAGTCTTTTTGTGCTTCTTGTGCCTCAGCTGAACTGCCTCTGACCCACCTTCAAGGTCATCGATCCACTTAACAGCTGCGTCCAATGTGCTGTCGCCCATCAAATGAGTTTAATTTCAATGACCATATTGTTCATTTTCATTATCTGTATCATACTGCTCTTCATGCTTATTTTACCATTATCCTAAAATATTTACTATACACTTTCAGTTTTAAAGTCCCATTCTCTAGATCTTCATATGCTAATTGCCTACTTATTGAATCTGCTGTCTCCTGGTGATTTACTTTCTCAGGGTTTGTAATTTTAAAATTTTATGCCCATGTTCAATGAGATTTTTTTTTTACATTGGGAGTTTCGAGAGCCCTAGGTAATAAAAGTGAGCTCTCTGAATAGAATTTCATTTACTTCTACCTAAAAAATAATGGTTTCAGTGATCTTGGATGAGTTTTTATGTTCATTTCCCAAGGGTGTTCCTGAAGCAGGCTTATTATTTGGACCTGTCTGTGATTTCTGTGCTAGCCAGGGTTATGGAGGCCTACTTTCCTGCCCTTTTGATCGATCACTAGACAGATTTCCATGGCTCTTCAAGGCTCCAGGCTGTCAGATGGCTCAATTCCATGTGCCACCCACCCCCACAGGTGCCCCAGTTCATGTCTCCTTGTTGGAGCACAGATATTAGAACCCCAAACTCTAGAAGCCTTTATTTTAGCCTGAGATCTCCTTGGGCTGTGATGAGGTCAGCTTGTACTTACTACTCTAGTTTTTATTTCTGAAGCCTAAACATTTACCTTGTTTTTTGTGTGGAGTGGGGCGAGTACGTGTAGGGATTTAACAATGGGCAGAAGCCCCCTCGACATCAGTTGCACCTGCAATCCTGCAGGAAGGTCTGAGTGAGTTTTCTAACATACAAAACCAGCAAATAGCTTCACATTATTGTTCATAGAATAAAATTTAAACTTATGATTTGATTCTCAAAGCCCTTCAAGACCTGGCCCCTATTTACCTCTTTTCACTCCCACTGCTTCAAAGTACTGTCCGTCCCTTTTCTGTGCCCTCCCTGAGACTCAGGCTGCTGTACACTCTGCCTGAAAGCCCTTTCTACCGCCCTAACGCGACTCATTCTTCAGGCTTGTTTTCCCAGGATGCTCCCCTTATCCGTCCAGTTTGCTCCCACAGGACATTATAGCACACACAGCTGCCTATTTTCTGTGCGGTGAAAACTGTTCATCTTGCTGTTTAACTCACCAGACTGGAAAGCTCTGAAGGCAGGGACATAAAGCACCCAGCTCAACGCCTGTCATGCAACAGGCACTCACACACAGAACAGTTCTTTTTCTGGAAGGATGGATGCCTCATCGTATTAATTCTTACTCATTCATTTATCAAGCAAACTGTGTGCTGGACAAGAAATAAATAAGGAAGAGCTATTTACTGCTTGGACTGTGCGCAAACCGAATACTTAGTGGTTCCTAACACGATGGAACCACAGCTCATCACAAGGGGTCTTCAGGCTGCCCTGGGATAATCCAAACGCAAGTTGTGCATTTGAAAAAAATAATAATTTTACTTCGAGAATTTAAATAAACTTTAATAAGCACAAAACCAGACATCCAGTAATTTAATGAAACTACAATAATGACTATTTATCCAAAGCTTCCAATCCCCATCCCCACCCCCAATCTTGCAAGACAGGGAGAGAAGAGGAAATTGATACACAGGGTCTTCTGGCTTAATGAAGGGACCTCTATTACCTTAGAAGCCCGAGAGCCCAGTGAAGCCGACTAGGAACCCTCACTGTTTTCATGTTGTACTAGCTACAAGACTCCCTGCTATGGAGTCTATGAAGTATGCACTGACAGAAGGGTTCTGCTCTCACAGGGTACTGCTTTCCAAAGGAAAAACATGTAAAAGTGCCACATAAAAACTGCCATTTTTAAATGACCTTCGGAACCATGCACTGAGATTTCCAATGCTTGTTTGTATTTACTTTGGCAGCCTAAGAAACTGAGATGAAGGCAAACGATCACCAGCGGCAGAATGAAGAGGAGAGGAGTCCTTGGTGGCGCAAGAGATGGGAGAAGGCAGCAGGCAGCAGGCAGCAGGCAGTGCTGTGGAAAGAGCCTGGATTAGGCACCCAAAGATGAACGGTCCAGCCCGAGGATTTCATGAGATAACATACTCTAGAGCCCTTGTAAAGGGCAAAGCCCTCTGCAGATAACTGCTCTGACTCACGAGATTGGCTGAAATCTGTGGGAGTTTATTAACTAAAGTGTGCCTGCAGTTGTCAGGTATCAATATTAGAGAGAAAACGACCCTGCCCTATTCCTGCAATCCATGGGATGCACTACACTGCAAGTCCGTCTTGCAAATTTGTTGCCCTCGCTATTCTAATACCTTTCCATTCAATGCCTGTCCTTGGAAGGGTTCCACATCAACAGATAAAACCGAACAATAGGATAATACAGAGAGAATGTGAAGCCAGCCCAGGAAGAATGGAAGACTTGGTTCAGAAGGCTCTGAAACGGTGTGTGCAGACATGTTTCACAAGCCCACACCCTGTAGTCTCTTGAGTGTGCATTTCTAGGGTGTATAGGGCAGAATTGTGGGCGATGTGGAAAAGGTAACAACTTTCTCTAATCTTTGGTCCAGCTGCCTCTGCTTCTTATCTGAACGTGCCAGAGGCCTGGGAAGCCCTAACTGAACTCTACCTGCGAGAACAGCAAACTGCAGGCCATGGAAGGTTACTTGCTTCTCTACCTTAAAATGTTACTACGTGTGGTGATCTTTCTGAAGCCTACTGACAAGGCTTGTAGTCATATAATATCTATCTAAAGGTGAGATGGTGACCAATTTAGTAGCAAATAGTTAATTTTCAGAAGAAAACAGTGATCAGAAAGGTTCAAATGATTATATTTAACAGACACCTATATCCTTTCCAGTCTCCATTCTTATCTTTTACACAAATGCAGGTCCATAACCTAGAAATTTGAACACGACTGTTCACTGGGTCATTGCAACAGCTCCTCTCATTGTTCAAGAATAGAAACCAACTAATAAAAATTGTTAACTGCCTTCTTCCAACGCTGTATTGTTCTTTAAAACTAAAGATTATCCCAGTATGATCCTTCCACTGGAAAGACTCTTTTGTTATGTTAACTGTCCCATATATAACTGTTCACCCATGCTTTCTATATAATGGTTAGGGGCTTTATACAGAGCCCTGTGTTGGATCCCTCTCCTCACTTATAAGCCATGACCCTCTCTCTCACCTTCAGACTGTGGTTCACATTTCCTCATATGGCTGTCCTAAGGAGAAAATAGAGTAACATATAGAATCACTCAGCATAGAGGCTGGCATAGGGCAGGTGCTCAATATAGTTTGTTCTTTTTTCAACTTGCTTTAAATCCTTTAAGGAAGAAGGTAAGATTTAAATGTTAAGCAGTCTGTTATTTCATTGTAATCACACAAAAATTAACATGTACAAGAAAAATTTTGGTCTGTTTACTGTTATATCAAAAACAAAATATTAAACCATAGGAGTCCTTGCTTTGATGGCACTTATAAGCTAGAATTAAATAAGATCCTTTTCCAAGGGCTGGAAACTTAAAGACAGGATTGAAATAAACTTTAATAAGCAGTTACATGAAATCCTGCCAAACCACATGAGCTATGTATCTACTGATCAATATCAGAGTCCCCTTCCCTCCCTGTACTGGGAGGAGGCAATTTGATTGAGGCAACTATTAGTGTACCCAAGAAGTCCCTTGAAAACTTAACTCAGAAGACCAAAGAAATAAAAGAAATGCATTCACTGACTTTTGGCTTTCAAACACATCATAATCAGTATGCCTCAAACTATGTTTAAAAACTATTTTTGCCACTTAAATACTTTCATTAGATTCAACATAAAATATTTGAGTAGCACGAGAAGTGGCTCCAAGTTTATTACAACAGGTTTCAGAGACAGAACAATGTGTAAGGGGAAGACAGGAAGAAAAAGGTCAAACGGGGGTGGCAGTACAGCGGAGTCAGTGGAGTCTAAGATATATCTTCCACCTCGAAATTCTGTAGACTTCGTCATTGAGAGTAAATGTAAACATGAAAAATGTAAAATAAAGTTATAAAATCATAATTCCCTTTATTTTTTACTTGACATGTTTTCTATGGGTATGTACCAAAGGCCCAGGAGGTGAACAGTTGACAGTTCTGCCTTTGGAGGTGGATGACCTGCGTTCTACCTCCTAAAGGTGTCATCTTGGACACGTCACATCAACTCATCTTGAAATTAGGGATCATTCTCTACCTGAAGGCAGAGAGCTGGACCATCTTGTGAGAAACTGTCTAACTGTTTGATGGTAATAAAGGAGGTATTTTGAGAGGAAGAAGGATATATGGCTTTTTTTTTTTTTTTTTTAATCCTCATCTGAGGATATTTTTTTCCATTTATCTTCAGATAGAGAGGGAGGAAGGGAGAGAAACAGTGATGTGAGAAAAACATATCAGCTGGTTGCCTCCTGCAGGACCCTGACCAGGGCTGGGGACCAAACCACAACCCACATACGTGCCCTTTACTGGAACCAAACCCGCGACTCTGGTCTGTGGGCCAACGCTCTAACTGCTGAGCCAAACTGGCCAGGGCTATATGACTTCTTTATTGAGTACTTGGGCGTCAATAATACAGCCTAGGGTGGTGAGTGGGATTCATTACAGAGATGAGGTAGGCTAGAGGCCAAATACAGATTTTACGAGCCCAGAATTAAATATACGGCCATCATGATCATATTGGTTAATCTCCAAACATGAAGCCAGGCCTTTTAACCTTAAGGGTTATTACCCAGAGGTGGTTAATGGCCTATATAAAACAGGCTTCTATATGCGCCAGGTGAAAACAGAACCCAGACTAATCTGAAGTAGGAAAAAGGCAGTCATCACACCTGACTCCCATCCTGACAATGGCAGCAGCTTTCATTTGGCAGCCAGAGTTAAACTAGCTGTAGCCACTGAATTACTACAATGAACATGGTCAATGCCAATCACACAGAGGAACCGTTATTTAATAAAAAAAATAACAGAATATTGTAAATACAGCCTGACTTGAGGGATAAATACAGATAGTTCAGAACAGTTAATTCAAGAGTCATTAACTAGGATTTTAGTTTTGTAATTAATATTCTAGTCAGGATGCTCCTTGCTCTGTACCTAGATGGCTCCTTTCCATATGAGATGGTCAAGGATGGGACCCATGCTTGCTGGACCAGAGGAATCTGAGAAGTGTCAGGTTTCCACTGCCGAATTAATCATGGTCCAAAGTAGAAGTAATCTCAGGATGCTATTCTTGCTGTGGGCACTGTTTAGCATCTTTATCTCCTACTGTGAGCCCTCCCCTGAGTGCAAGGACCTCCTTATTAATTTTTATATTTCCAGTGCTTAACACTTTGTCAAACATTTGGTAGATAAGGCGCTCCATAAATGTGTTGAATTTAATGAAGCTATTTCTCTTCCAACTTGGTTACAGAAACACTGAAATTCAGAGTTGGTGGATGCCAGACCAGCAACATCTGCATCAAAAAACCTGCTAGATCTGTAAATGATCAAGCTCCAGCTCAGACCTATTAACAGTAACTCTGGGCTGGCCCCAGCAAACCATGCTTAACAAGCCCTTCAGGTGCTTAAGATGCCTAAGTTTGAGAACTAGTACCTGAGGCAAAGGAAGTACACCTGAGGTTCAAGCAGAACAGATCCAACTTTTCCAGTGTTGGCCAAACTGAAAGGAGGGTTTGCAAAAGTAGAAAAAGTCTAGGACTGTTATATGTTTTACGCCCGTGCCAAATTAAATGGGAAAAATGTTGTAAACCTGTAACTTACCTCACCTGTATAGTCTGTAATGCCCAAGAGTCCCTCACATCGTAGTAAAGCTTGCTGTGCCCTTGAAATGACTGTCTACTGCGATTTAGTACACAGGGAGAGAGCAAAAGGGGTACAGCTGGAGGAGAAAGGGGTAAAGATTATGAATACCAGGTGTTTGGTCCTAGGAGAAAAAATTCCCTTCCTCCCTCCAAACCTGCCACCTTGTTATGCTACCTAGTAAGAGCAGAAAGTTACTCAAGACACATGGCACGAAACCTAACTGCTCTGCTGTCACACCTCCCAACAACAGGCCTCCCCTGGCTACCCGGCAACCTTCCTGAAGTGGCTTTCTGGATCAAGGCTCATGCATGGGGTGCCTGGATGAGAAGCTGGGAGGAGGGTGAGGTTCTTCACTAGCATTCCTTGTGGCTTCTGAGACAGGCTGCCTGGCTATCACCTGCAGAGTGCGGACAGAGGAAAAGCAACAGCTCTAAACCTAGCCTCCAAGGGAGGGCCTGGGTGTGGCACCGCCCTCCCGGGACCACGGTGGTGGAAGAGCCAGGGCAAGGAGCTGCACCCAGGCGGGCAGGGCTATCGGGGCGCCTCGGAGACAAGGGCAGCCGATGCCCAGAAAGATGAAAACTGGGCTGACACCTTTGTGCGAGAACACAGTATATCCACGGCACACAAACTAACAAACTTTGAGCTGAACCAGACGACAAGCAGGGCCCGCACACCCCTGCCGGGGTAGCAGCGGCGACAGGAAGTGGTGCCAAACTGGCTGCTAGGAGTCGGGGCACGAAAGCTGCAAGTGAAGGGAGCTGGGGTCCTGTCAGAGACCGCTGAAAGGCCACACGCCAGATTTCCTCCCAAGCCTACTAGGACCACGCGTGAGTATTTCTGCGTGTGTGTCGGAGCACGGGTTAGTGGTGGAAGAGATGGGGCTCGTCCAGGCCGGGAGAATGAGGGGGTGATTCCCGAGCAACCTGAGAGCGGGGTGAGGACACGCTGGGAGAAAGACAGGGGCCTGGATCACTCCACCCTCGGCCCCGGGGGGAGGCTGGCGCGGAAGCAACGGGAGGTACGGCTTTTCTGCAGGCCTCAGGGGGGCGGCGGGGCGGCGGGGGAGAACGCCGCTGGAGCGCCCCCACGCCCCCGGAGGGTCTAGCTCTGGCCACCAGGACACACGAGGGCCACGACGCCTCCCCCGGGCTCACTGCACTGCCGCCGCCCTCTCTCCAGCACAGTGCGATCCCCCAGGATCGGGGGGGGGCGGGGTCTCCGACCTCTCCCCTCTTCCCCGCCCTGCGCTGCCCAGCTCAGCCCGGTCCGGCCCGGTCCGGCCCAGCCCGCCAGCACTCACGGCTCCGACAGCTACGGCGGCTCCTCCCCTGCCAGCCGGCTTCTCCCCCACCCACTCCCGGCCGAAGCAGCGCCACCAGATCTGAGTCGCGCGGGGCCCGGAGGGTCGAAACACGTGGGGCCTTTGCACCCGGAACCGGAAGCTGCGCTGCGCCCCGCCTCCTCGCTGCGCGTAGCCTTTCTAGGCGCTGGGAGGTTCGTTCCTCTCTATGTGCCGGGCGCGAGCTGCGGCTCCGGGCCGTGGCCGCCGGGAAGGGCTGTGGCCCAGCGCTTCTGCTCGCGCGGGCTGGCGCTGCTCTGCTTTCCTTTTGTTCTGCTTTTGAGCTTTGTTTGTTTGTTTGTTTTGATTATGATGCCTAAATCTCTACTTGTTTTTCTTCATTTTTCCCCCCTTTGCATTGTCTGCGAAGCATGGTTTGAATAATGGCCCTTTCATTTTTTTATTTAAAAATTTTTAATGTTGACATTATTGCCCATCTCCACCCACCTCCACCTCCCCCTTCCTTGGCCTTCACCAAACTATTGTCACTGTCCGTGGGGTCTGAATATATGTTCTTTAGCTAATTCCTTCACCTTCTTTTTCCAACCCCCTCTCCCCCTCTCCCCTTGGGCACCAGCCAGTCTGTTTCATGTATCCATGCTTCCTGTTCCATTTTGTGCGTCAGTTTATTTTGTTCATTAGATTCCACATATTAGTGAGATCATATGCATTTGTCTTTCTCTGTCTGGCTTATTTCACTTAGCATAATACTCTCCAGGTCCATCTGTGCTGTCTGCAAAGAGTAAAAGTTCTTTTTAAAGCCTATAGCCGCATAGTAGTCCTTTGTGTAAATGTATCAGTGTAATTTTTTCACTTGAGAATATTTTTACATTTATCTTTAGACAGAGTGGGAGAGAGAGAGAAACATCGATGTGAGAGAGACACAATGACTGGCTACCACCCGCAGAGCCCCAACCGGGGCTGGGGACAAACTGCAACCGAAGTATATACCCTTGGTGGATATCAAACCTGGGACTCTTTGGGCTGCAGGCTGAGATTCTAACTTCTGAGCCAAACCGCCCAGGGCTACCACCACTTTTTATCCACTCATCTACTGATGGGCACTTGTGCCGTTTCCAGATCTTAGCTGTTGTGAATATAGCGCTGCAATGAATGAACATAGGGGTGCATATATTCTTTCTGTTTGGTGTTTTGGGATTCTTAGGATATATTCCCAGAAGTGGGATGGCAGGGTCAAACAGCAGTTCCATGTTTAATTTTTTGAGGAAACTCCAAACTGTTTTCCATAGTGGCTGCATTAGTCTGCAGTCCCACCCACAGTGTGCTAGAGTCCCCTTTTCTCCACATCTTTGCTAGCACTTGTTATTTATTGATTTATTGATGGCAGCCATTGTGTGAGGTGACATCTCATTATGGTTTTAATTTCATCTCTCTGATAATTAGTGATGCTGAGCATATTTTCATATGCCTATTGGCCATCTGTCTGTCGCCTTTATCAGGTTCTTTGCCTTTTTTGTTTTGAGATAAAATAGATTTTAATGATGTCTCTATAATAAAAATGTTGATTTCCATACATTACAGTGTCATATATTTGTCATTATTTTTATTTTTGAAAAGAGCTACGATTTCAGTCTCAATTACAAGTAGTTAACAACCCAACCACTGTGCCGCAGGAAACATAGCATTTCTCTCAGTATTTGTAAGAAGTCAACAAAACATGCCAGTATTTCACTAGAAATGGTTTTAACAATTAAGTACTGTGGAAATAATGGTGTTAGCAATTCAGGGGAGAAAACAGAATTGTATGTTTTTTATCTTGAAGATAATAGTGTATGTTTTCAACTTCAGGAAGCTGAATAGTGATGTTGGAGCAAGAGGTATAGAGAAGTACAAGCTGGATAAACTCTTGATCTGAGGAGACATGTTCTTTCTTTTTAAAAAATTATTTTTAAAATGTTTAAATGTATATTTTTATTTTACGTAATTTTTTTCAGCACCAATTAAACCCTCTTTGCACTCTTCCACCCCCACCCATTCCCTTCTGCCTTACCCCACAACCACTACACCGTTGTCCATGTCCATGAGTTTTCTCTCTCTCTCTCTCTTTTTAATCTTCACCAGAGGACATTTTCCCATTGATTTTCAGATAAAATAGGAAGGAGAGAGAAAGAGACAGAGAGAGAGAGAGAGAGAGAGAGAAACATTGATGTGAGAGAGAAACACTGACTGGTTGCCTCCTGCAAAACCCCAACCAGGGCCAGGGATTGAACCCCAACTGAGGTACGTTCCTTTGACCAGAATCAAACCCGTGACTCTTTGGTCCGTGGGATGATGCTCCAACTACTGAGCCAAACCAGCCAGAGCTCTCTTTCTTTTCTTTTTTGCTCAATCCACGCCCCCACCCCCCACCCTCCAATGTCTGCTGGCTTTCAATCTATGCGTCTCTTTAAAAAAAATTTTTTTTTTTTTGTCCATTTTTTTTTTTTTTGTTCAGGTAGAGTGGGAGGGAGAGAGAGGAACAGAGAGAGACATCGACGTGAAAGGAACACATCGAGTGGCTGCCACCCGCACGACCGACCAGGGCCGGGGACAAACTGCAACCGAGGTACGCGCCCTTAGCGGGAACCGAACCCGGGTCTCTCTGGACCGCAGGCCGACGCTCCAACCGCTGAGCCAAACCTGCCAGGGCTAAAAAAAATTTTTTTTTCCTTATTGATTTTAGAGAGGAAGGGAGAAGGAGAGAGAGAGATAGAAACATCGATGAGAGAGAACATCAATTGGCTGCCTCCTGCTTGCTTCCCACTGGGGATCAGGCCCACAACCTGGGCATGTGCCCTAACCGGGAATGGAACCGGCAACCTCTTGGTGCATGGGTTCATGCTCAACCACTGAGCCACACCAGCTGGGCGAGTCTGTCTCTATTTTGCTTGATAGTTCAGATTTTTTATTAAATTCCAAATACGAGTGAAATTACATGGTACTTGTCTTTCTCTTACTGGCTTATTTCACTTAGCACAATGTTCTCCAGTTCCCTGCATGCTGTTGCAAAGTATAAAATTTCCTTCCTTTTTACATCAGAGTAGTATTCCATTGTGTAAATGTACCACAGCTTTTTTATCCATTCATCTGCTGATGGACACTTGGGCTGCTTCTAAATCTTGCCTATTGCAAATAATGCTGCAGTGAACATAGGGTACATATATTATTTGGAATTAGTGTTTTGGGTTTCTTCAGATAAATTCCCAGAAGTGGAATTGCTGGGTTATAAGGCAGTTCCATTTTTAATTTTTGAGGTAACTCCATACTGTTTTCCACAGTGGCTGCACCAATCTGCTTTCCCACCAACAGTGCATGTGGGTTCCCTTTTCTCCACAGCCTCTCCAACACTAGTGGTTTTTGGATTTACTGAGGATAGCCATTCTGACAGGTGTGAGGTAATAACTCATTATGGTTTTAATTTGCATTTCTCTGATGATTAGTGATGTTGATTATCTTTACATATGTCTGTTGGCCATCTGTATTTCCTCTTTGGAGAAGTGTCTATTCAGTTCTTTTGACCATTTTTAAAACTTTTTCTAATTAATTTCTTTCCGTTACAGATGTTTCTCCTTTGTCCCCCATTCACACCCTCCTCCCCATCCCCCTACCCCATCCCCAGCTTTGTTGTCTATATCCATTGGTCATGCATACATACATATAAGTTCTGTGGTTTATCTCTTCCCCCACTCCCAAACTCCCTCCTCTGAGGTTTGTCAGTCTGTACCCCACCTGTATGTTTCTGGGTTAATTTTGTTCAACAATTTGTTTAGTTCATTATATTCCACAAATAAGTGAGATCATGTGATATTTGTCTTTCTCTGCCTGGTTTGTTTCACTTAGCATAATACTCTCCAGGACCTTCCATGTCATCTCAAAGGATAAGCGATTTTTCTTTCTTACAGCTGCATAGTACTCCATTGTGTATATGTACCACCGCTTTTTTATCCATTCATCTACTGATGGACACTTGGGTTGTTTCCAGATCTTAGCAATTACAAATAGCTGCTATGAACATAGGGGTATATACATTCTTTCTGATTGGTGTTTCAGGCTTCTTAGGATATATTCCTAGAAGTGGGATCACTGGGTCAAATGGCAATTCAATTTTTAACTTTTGGAGATAACACCATATTGTTTTTCATAGTGGCTTCACCAGTCTGCATTCTCACCAGCAGTGTACTAGAGTCCCCTTTCCCCACACCCTCCCCAGCACTTGTTGTTTGATGATTTGTTGATGGCGGCCATTCTGACAGGTGTGAGGTGATACCTCATAGTTGTTTTAATTTGCATCTCTTGATGATTAATGACGTTGAGCATTTTTTCATGTCTCTTGGCAATTTGTATGTCCTGTTTGGAGAGGTGTCTCTTTAGTTCCTCTGCCCATTTTTTAATTGGGTTCTTTGTCTTCCCTTTGTTGAGTTGTATGAGAACTCTATATTTTGGAAATTAATCCCTTACCTGATTCATCTTTGACAATTATAATGTCCCATATAGTGGGTTCCTTTTTCATTTTGATGGTTGTTTCGTTTTCTGTGCAGAAGCTTTATAGTTTGATGTAGTCCCATGTGTTCATTTTTTCCTTTGTTTTCATTGCCTTAGGGGTTATATCAGTGAAAATTCTTCTGCGTATGCTGTCTGAAATTTTGTTGCCTGCATTTTCTTCTAGAATTTTTATGTATTCACAAGTTACATTTAACTCTTTTATACATTTTGAGTTTATTGTTTGTATGGTGTAAGTTGATGGTCTAGCTTCATTTTTTGCAAATAGCTGTCCAATTTTCCCAATACCATTTATTGAAGAGACTGTCTTGACTCCACTGTATGGTTTTGCCACCTTTGTCAAATATTAATGGAGCAGAGAACCGAAAAATGGCGGCGGAGTAAACGGAGCTACACAGACCGTCTCCTAGAACCAAACTGGAATTACAACTATAACACAGACATTACAACTATAACACAGAAAAATCGACGGGAAAAACCAACAGAAAAGCAGCTTGCGAGGACCATACAACGAGGGACACTGACTCCATCTCAGTAGGCTTGCGAAGGGGCAA